GACTATCCACAAACCTATTAAAAAACAAAAAAGATAACAAAATTGCAACTAAAATTATAATAATATTCAATTTAAAATGTAGGAGGGGCATGTCTGAAGCAACGATCTCTGGTTGGGATGCCGTCGGACCCCGAGCAATGCTGTCCGGTTGGGATATTGTCGAGCTCCAATCGCTATGGGCAGCGGAATAGGTTGGAATGTCTGCCCACCTGAAAAACTGACACCTGTCCAGACTGTTTGCCCATCGTAGACACCTGTAGAATCGCCGACCGTAGCTATGTGACAGGTGCAATGTGAGCAACACAACAAACATTCCGCAGCGGCAAACCACTACTCCGGAGTTCCCTGAAAAATTTGAGCTCATTTTTTCTATAAAAAATGCAAAAAATAAAGACGTTAGTGATAAGAGAAGTTGTATTGAAATAAAAAAATGCAAAGAAAGAATTTGAGAAACACTAGCCAAAAGCTTTCTTCGCTTCAAAACCTGTAAGAGGTGATTTTGAATTTGAAAAAAAAAAACCCTGAAGTTGGTGCTGCATACCTTTGATCTGCAGTAGAAAGTTAATCCGACGGAATTGGAAACCAAAACCTTGACAGAACATGTAAGAATTATGATCCAAAGTACTAAAAAAATTTAAGAAAATTCAGCTTTGAAACTACAAAACAATAGGATATTCAAGCTATCATAATGCATTTACCCCCCAAAGTGTGGAAGCAATGGTTGCCTACAACAAACCTCATTGGCCGTCCAAGCTGCTCCGCAAACTTCAATGTCATATTTACATTCATTCTCTTCAAGCAAATACAGCCAACACTTCCATTGTTCAAGATTTTCATGTTTTTACACGTTAAAAATTTATCCGGGTAATGATACACATCATCATCATGGTATAGCATGCCAACATTTGCCTTGCACTTGAAGATAAGAGTAATTTCTCATAATATACAGTGATAATCATTACTTAAATTAATTAATTGAAAAGAAAAGAATAACAAAAATGATTGTGACAAAACTCATAAAAGTACATGTTACCCGCAGCACATAGGCCATCAAAACAACAGCCGTAACATCACGTTCAGTTGTTAAAAATGGGCGGAGAAAAGAATGCATAAGCTTGGCCTAAGATATACAAAAAACACTAATATGCTTCTATGATAAAGGTAAACTTACAAAATAACTTCCAATCATAATACCAAAGTCCTGCTTATATAAATTTCTTTCAAATCCAATTATATCGTAACTCTGTAAAACAAAATATCGAATTCTAAAAATATATTGATGATTATATCTTAAAAACAATGTCAGCTAAAAAATATTTGATTCATGTGCTTCTATGATCATTGCAATGCGCTTCCCCTCCCTTCCCTTCTAATTGGTAATTTAGCTTGGAATCTTGCTTCAACACTTGTAAATTACAAAGCTCTGTTCTCAATGCTGGCTTAAACCTGTCATTATTATCAACATCTCCAAATAACATTATCCAAGCTAGTTCTCTCAGTCGCCATATCTTCATATAAGGTAGGGATAATCCGTAAATAGTTTCTAAGCTGGTCTTAATATATTTGGGTGGGATTTCTGCCTGTTTCTTTACAATATCTCGTATTTCATGAGCTACCCAAGCAGTTATTGCTAACTTGTTCCCAGCTCTATTAACACCTGGGCATGAATGTGTTGCACCAATGTAATGACAACCCTAGTTGTCATAAAGAAAACCAATTAAATTATGCATAAAAGAAAATTACAAGCAATTAAGATGCTCGGATCTAATGAAAATTTAACCCTGCAATTATAAGAAATGAATATCAAAGAAGGGCGTGATCTTAATATGAGTTCAATTTTTCGCATGAGATCTCAAGCATGAGAGTACAATTCAACATAAATGAAAGAAAAAAAGGAGGATTTATATACATACCAATCAATTCCTACATATATTAACAACTCTAACACCTAACGGCTTTTTTTTTTGCATAAAAGGGTATTGTTAACTTTTTAAAAGTAAATAGAAAAGGATCGAGTGTTAGGTATGTCAATGCCCCTAAAGTCTAATATCTTTAATGAACTCAGTATGCAGGTAAAAGGAAAAGAAGATGGTATTTTACTATGAGGATTTGGTGTTATTTTACTATTTTGTTGGTTTTACTGTCCGCTTCTTCTTTTAAGATTTGTTTGGCTTTATAGACTAAAGAATCAGTCCTCAAGCTAAATCTTTAGATGATGATGAGATGGATCAACCATGTTATTGCTCCAGACTGAGCTCTATTTGTGTATTTTTTTTTATTCATAATTTCTGCACACACTCTAAAAATTAAAGTTCACTTGTTACATATGTTAGTACATAGGAATGGGGCGGTATGTTTGTGCATGCCTGTAAAAGCTAATGTGTGCTACTTAAATTAAAGTTCGCGTTTCTCAGACAAATTGAGGGGGTTTATATACAAACCACTCAAAAACATTGCTAATTACATATCAATCTCATAAAGGCCCAAATTTGCATATCTAAAATTCTAAATAAACAGTTTTTATTCAAATAAAATTGAGAGTTTTACATGCCAAAGTTTACTTTATCTACCTATTCTTCAGTTTTCTAACAGTAAAAACACCCCTTTTCTCAATCTCACTTGGAAGCCTGAAATCGAACATATTACGATCTTACCATTTGCTGCTATTCGCAAATCAAACACCTAAAAGCCTATATTTACATACCAGGCAAGGTTGAAGAACAAACTTGCTGCTTGCGGGTAAGAATGCTTACTGTACTTTTCCTTTTATCTCAAGGACTGTTGGAGCAAATCAACAAGTAGTTGATGGGCAAGAAAAAAACACAATGCTGAAGAAATGAAAGATTTACATACAATCATGTAACACCAATACAGAAATACAGAAATGAATTTAATGAACATAAGTAAGGATCGGGTAGTGAAGTAGAAAATCTTCTTCTAATCAGGACTTTGAGCACACAAACAAAAATAGAGACGAGCTCAGCACATCCTTCGAGCGATGTGGCGGGGTATTAAAGGTAGTGGCGGCGGCCATTGAAATGAACTTCAAAAGGGCGAAGGATTCAAGATGGCTACGGAGAGCGACGGAGGTTCTACTGGCTTTCGGCTGCGGGCTTTCGGAGCGAAGAGGGTAGAGGTGTAAAAGGAGAGATGGCAGCTGCGGGCGAACGCGTATACCCGCGATCCGCGTGTAATGAAATTTACAAAACACCATTTTTTGATAATCTATTGAAACGTGCGAATCAAACGTTTAGGCGACGTTTTGAAAACGCCGCCACACTTATAAGCTGCACCAAACGGGCCCTTAGTAAGTGAAATTCTTTTTCATTCTTAGCCACCAAACTCATTTTTTTTAACATCTTTTGGAACTTAGTTGCATAGAACATTTGGATTGGCGGGCTTCTTGCATGATTTCATAGTTTAAGCTCATTAGGACAGAAGTTTTTCTTTGCTGAGAAAGAAATTTTTGGCAATTCACAAGAAATTTACTTTGATCTCTTTTATTAGCTTTTTGGCAATTTCACAAGAAATTTTTGGCAATTCACAAGAAATTTTCTTTGATACCCTCAGCCACTATCTCACTAGTCTTCTAAGCATCTAGTAGTCCCTCTTGTATATTTGCATTACAACTACCTTAGCTGAGTAGAGGTTGATAACATAAGTTTATTTTTGGCTGAGGGTGTCGACAACCTTTTTAGCCTACCTATATGGCATTGAATTTCGCATCATAGTCTTTCAGTGGCTCCATCTTTTCTCTTTGTGAATGTTGAGCTTCTTCCAAACAAAGAAGTTTATAAAGCTTTTATGACCAGTAAAGTGCTTCATACAAAGATTACATGAATAGTGTCCTCGTATCTTGATAGTGAGAAAATGTATGCGTTGGGTAATTCTCATGTGGCTCGAGCTTTATAGATGCTTAGGAGATCACTCCATTGTACAACATAAGCACACATCTTAGTGTATGTAGAAAGCACTTATTATACACCTTGAATCTCGCGTTTGTTTGGTAGAGTAAGCGTCGATGCCACCACGAGATAATCTTTATGTGCCAGTAAGACTTCGTTGTAGTCTTTTGCCCATTTACGCTGTCACCTTCTAGGTCAACTAGATTATATGAAGTGTCTGTAGTAGCTAATAATTTGAGGAAGCTGAGTGTTTTCATTATGTTTATTGGCTTTGGCTAGTTAACAATGACGGAGATTTCTTGTCAGGCCATTAAAGTGCCACTGACACTAATTTTGTACCCCGAGAAGGAAATGCAATGAAACTAGAAATAACGTGTAAAACATGACATTTAATAATGTGCTGCAATAATTATCACTTGCTCTATTATATTCGTGTAATTGTAGGTTAAATTTTTCTAAGATTAAATAGAATTTTAAGATAAGACTCTACTTGTAAATTTTTCCTTCTAATTGGGATTTTATGATTTGATTTGAAAATTTTTCATAGACACAAACCCTTATAGTTAATTACCTCTTTTGCTCCCAAAATTGCACTTTGAATTAAGGCTTGTTAATATTATTTTCAATTCTTAGCTTTAGTAGTAGCAATTTGATTTTGGTTGGAGATAAGTTGCTATTTTCTCAGTGCAAATGGTGGTGTAAATATAATGAAACCGATTAAGATTTCATAATTTCATCATTCCAGTTCTCATGAACCATGGTCCATCTTTAAAAGAAGCATATTTAAATATAATAACTTCATACTAAATACAAATTATTTGATAGACAGCACTAACATTTCAAGTAAAACTATCTAACAGCCCCAAAGGCTAGTAGCCTGTTCAAACTTGAAGCTGTCAACAGATACTTTTGCATAGTGCTAGAAGTTTTACTTATGAATCAATGATTTCATATTATAAAAGAAATGCATCTGATTTGATTTTATAGAGTTGAATAAATGTTTCAATTTGCCTTTTGCCTTGTTGGAGGTTTAGGCAAAGATATAAGAACAATATTTTCATTTTCACTCGCAACTAAGTCATCTTGAATTCTCAGAAAACAAGTTTGCTGTTGGGAGTGGAGCTAAAACTGTTTGCATTTGCTATTATGAGCCAGAGAATAACTGGTGAGCCTTTCTGCTCTAATTATTGCTTCATTCTGAGCATGCCATTTTCCATTTTATACTATATTTATTTTCTGGTGGAATTTTAAATTTTTATCTAGTTTATTTTTTTGGTTCAATTATTCTCTTTAGATCATAATATATTTGAATGTAAATGTTTTGGTGGGCTTATGTTTGATAAGATATGATTGGATCTGAATTTATTTGGACTAATACTAGTAACCCTGTTTCTATAAACAGTGATTGGTGACTTGTGATTGAATACTCTTTTTTTATGAATGAAAATTATGCTGTGAGGCTCATCGGGTGTTCTTTTTTTATCAAAGTTGTATTTGCGGATCACTCGAAATTCTGTATGTAGAGTTTATTATCAAATTATTGCTCTTCGATTTGGTAACAAAAGGCTTTAGAATTGCAACTATTTTCATTTGATTTGATTGATCCACCACCTGGGCTGCACGTTATGCCTGCATGTTGCTTTTAATCCAAACCGTTTCGCACATCACACCGTCACTTGCTAAACATAGGGGGAGTGATTTTGAGTTTCTCATGCAAGCATTCGAAGTTAGGATTGTATGCCCTAAAATTTTTGACAAACTCACGAGTAATGGACTCCAGACTTCAAATCAGGTTAACTTTAAGCATCAAACACAAATAAAAAACTTAAATGATGAAATTTGTGCTTTCTTCATCCTTGATCCTTTAAGCCCCCGCTTATGAGTCCCCTTTGGTATGGAAGTTTCAAGCCTTGTTTTTTTATTCTTTTTGTCTATGAAAAAGAGAGGTAATTAACTATTAGGCCTTTGACGAAGAAGAAGTAATGACCCCATATCCAAATAAAACAGGACATCATTGTTAGGAAAAATTTGGTTAAAATAAATTAATCTACCTCAAGTATCACTACTAATTTCTCCCTGACATCGAGGACTACGCCTTATTCATAGTGCTCTTTCATTATAATTCTAATTCTTCTCTTTATTGGTGTTTCCTTACATGTCTGTCTTATTTTTTTGGTTAGTAACATTTCTTCATTAGTTGGACATTCATACTTCCACCATTCCTTGTGTCTTCAGCGTGGGACCATTATCTACCTTGCATTATGTACCCTTTCTTTTCTGATATTTTCTATTTTTGCCATCATAATGGGAATCATTCCATGTAGTCTCTAATGTTCTAGCTGTCTATCTAAATTTAATTTTAATTCTTCTTGTTCCTATTTGGCTGGAATGTATTGTTGGTTATCCGCTGTTAACGTCTTAATCATTTTTTTTTCTAACTTGTTATGCTGTTGTACGGTTATCTTTTCTTCTTAGGTGGGTCAGCAAGCTTATAAGGAAAAGACATGATTCTTCTGTAACAAGTGTTGCTTGGCACCCGAACAACGTGAGTTTGCCCTTATTTTCTTTCTTACATTTAACACCTATAATTATTAGAGTTATGGGGTGTTTATTTTCATAGTATTGCATTTGCAGAAGTACTTTGCAAAAGGTAAATTGCCAATAGGATTGGCCAGATTCTCAATTTGTCAGCAATTCTATAATGTTGTTGCATTTGTTTCTTAGCCACTTAAGCTAAACGGAAACTTAAAATGCTTGCAACATATTTGCTGCTTTTTTTACTAGTAACTATGCTGTTTGGTATCTGCAAGCTTGCTGTTTTAGTTCTTCTACATGCTTTACTACATTTGATATTTTGACACTAAGACCCTTGCAACCCATTGAAAGTAAGAATTCAAATAAACATTTTTTTAAAAAAAAACCCAAATGTAAAGGTTTTCTAGCATTTGAAAATACAAACTAAAATCGAATTGCAAGATTACAACCATCTGAATATGCCATTAGTAGCATTTTAGTTCCAAGGTAGCCGCTACTATTCTTTGCTTTAGTAGCAACAAGATTATAGGAAATAATATGGTTCGTTTGGCTCGGAGTGGATGGTGGAGAATTATTACAAATTAGATTAAGATTTCATGGCCTGGTTGCATAAACTCTCGTCTACTGGCTCAACAAGATAGTTGACCTCACTTTGCTAAAATATTATTGTCAGCAGTTATGTATTGCATCATCAATGGGCACCTCATAAATTTTGGATGAAAACTTACAAAGGGGTCTAATTTTAAGGTGGCAGTGGCTGCTTCTAAGATATACATTTCAAATTTTAGACAAGTGACATGTTTATCATTTCTATTTATTGGAAAATTTGATCCTAATATGCTATAGATTTTGTTTATTTGTCCACAAAGTTTAAACTTTTCAAGTTCTTGTTATAATATTATTGTACTCCCCTTCACAATTGTACTTCTGAAATCAGGATTTCAGATTTTTGAGAATGCTAATAGTGTCTTCTAGCATCAAATAATGGATTGTTTGATTAGTATAACCCCAGAAAGATACAACTTATTGTCCATTTTTATAGACTTGGAAGGTGATGTAAATGCTGCAATCTTAAATATGTTTTCCTTTTAGGCTTTCTATTCTTGCTTGTGAACTATGAAGTTTTGCAACCATGGTTTTGTTCACGTTTAAGTGCCTTCTCATAAATTAATTGGTTGAGATTTTTGTATGCATTTAAATATCCTTATGAATATTTATGTGTATATATGTAAATTTTAACACATTGGTTCGCTACCTTTCTCTACCAATGAATCACAACTTTCTGTTGAACGCTCATACTTGCACGTTATTTTGAACTTTCATTTTTTTAATTGGGGCATTTACATACATAACACACAATTCTCATGTATTTACATATCTCACATCTAATCTTTCATATTTACGCACATCACTCAAATTTTTAATATCAAATAACAAATAGCACTATAATCAGTTTTTTAAAGTGAAATACACCTTTTTATGTTTAGGTTTAAAGCCCTAAAGTGCTATGTGTGTAAATATGAAATTTTGGGTTTGAGATATGTAAATAGATAAGAATTCTGTGCTGGGTATGTAAATTTCCCTTTTTAATTTTAAATGATTGGTGAAATATTTTTTTTTCATATTTTTGTTTACAGATATTACTTGCAACGACATCCACTGATGGGAAATGTCGAGTCTTCTCTACATTCATCAAGGGCATTGACATGAAGTACATAAATACCTGATTCCTTCTTAGAAGAGTATAATTTTTCAAACCACTGATTGGCTGCAACTTTTGAATAGGGATTCAGGAACAAGCTCTTCACGTGATCTAAAATTTGGAGAGGTTGGATACTTTCAATGATCTCACAAATATTCACCTTTGCATCCATGCTTGTCTTTTAAATTTTCTGTAAATGCATTAATTTTTTCTATTTTGTGTTTTGAATAGCCAATCCTTCTTGTTATTCAAACAGAATCGGAGTGCTATAAAGTGCATTATGTAATTTTGTATGCTGCTTACTATTGTTGATTAACTTGCCATATGTTAATGATTGTCTTAGTTGGCATCAATCCTCCTGCCATTAGTAACCTGGTTGTTTTTTCTTTATTAAATTTAGTCTTGAAACAATTATTTAGGGTTTGCTTTATGACATTTTGACTATTTGTTTTTGAAAAAAAATTAGTCGCGAGTGGTATGAACAATTGGTAAGCATTATTTTACATATGATTTTTTTTTTTGTTTTCAAGTTTACTTGTTGGTTTGATTGTTTAATTGAGATCATTTATTTATCTGTTGTAGGATATACACCAATTTTATGCATATTTTCATTTGAATACGCCTCTTTTGACTAAATAGAATGGATAAATGTCTTATCACTTGGGCCTCAAAATCTATCCATAATGGTATATGCTCGTAACTAATTTTCTTGCATTTAAAAATTATAATGCATTTTTAATTGTTATATATATCTTTGTTCTCCTATAGGTTGAACACGGTGCTTATGAAACCTCCAAAATTGGTTTAAAAGTAACCCTTGAAACCCCTTTTCTATATTTTTGGGCCATTCAACCCATGTACAATTGTCATCAATAGGCATTTTGGTGCCATAATTGATTTAAGCTGAAAACCCCTTTTCAGAATAAGCGTGAATCCCTTGATGAAATTTTCAACAAAAATCAATAAAGACATCAAAATTTCTATGGAAAACACATGATATTTGGGATTACGTACTTTCTTCTACTTATCCTTTATGCTTTATTCTTGTATTTGGCAATCATGGAAGATTGATTCCTTCACAATTTTGCTAAGGTGTGAATGGCCCTCCTTTGTTGTTAGGTCGATTAGCTAAATCATTGTGCCTTGATTGCTAAATTCTTGCCTTGACTTTTAACTTTTCCCTAGCTACATGTGCTTCCCATGTTGGAGCCATTCTCATAATCTTGTTTCGGTTGTGATTCTACACACTCGCCAATCTACAACCCATCTTGACTCCTTTCTCTTGCTCTTTACTCACCAATAACAGTCGCCACATCACTATGCCTAGTTGCTCTTGCCTTTCTTGCTACAATGCTGCATTGCCTTCTCGCAATTTCCAAGCTATATGTTTCTGCTTTTGCCTCGTAAAAAGCCCATTTGATTGTGTTTCCACTTATATGCGATCCTACAATCCCAAGCATGTGGCTTTTATATGCCTATTTGATCCATGCCAATTTAGTTGTGCCTCCCAATTTCACTAGCCACGCTCAATGCCCATTCCACTCATGGCCTTGTATTCATTTAGAATACATTCTCACCAAATTCTTTATTAAATTTTGTATTGATAGAAACTTTCACAAAAATTAAGACAAAACAAAATATTTTTCTTTACCAGCACAAAACACAACTCAAATACAATAATAAACACCTACAATTCAAGAGGTAGGCAATCTCTTCCAAACTCCAACCTTCAAATTCAAGACAACAATCACATATATCACATAACTTAATTTTAAACATATTAAATCTCGTTTACCCCACAATAATAACTAACAAATGACTAAATGCCCTTTAAGTTTTATGCCTAACATACATCTTCAAACTATTTTGATGAGCTCGATGTCGACTTAGTGGAGCACAAGGCGAATGGTGCCATAGGTGCTGGTCTAATATAACTCCTTTCCTCGAAAGACATCTTATCCTCAAGATGGAAGAAATGAAACTTCTTTTGGATCAAACGTATGACTCAGTCTTAAACTGACTTGAGTCTGGCTCTTGCCATCAACTCTTGACTGAAATAAACGATGAGTTGTTGACAGTGTTTGAGGACTGCATCGAACTCATAACCAGAAGCATCAATCTCTACAATGAATGGTTGGCTGAATTCAGGTAACACTAACGCTTGTACACTTTTCATGGCTTTTCTTTAACTTCCCAAAAACCTGAATTGTAGCGTCCCCTTACTAAAAGTTATTCTTCTTCAATTGCTCTATCAACGACCACACAACCGAATTGTTAACACTCCCTGAACTTTCGATAGTATCCTGTAAGTTTTTGAAATCTTCTCAACCCTTTCAAAGGTCTTAGTTATCAGCCAATCCAACATAATCGCCACCTTCGATGGATTCACCAACACCTTGAGTATCATCAACACTTTCTTTAAATGGTCAATGTGCTCTTCCAATGAATGACTGTACACTAGGATATCATTAAAGAACACCAACACAGACATTCAGAGGAAAGTTTGAAATATCTTGTTCATTAGTGACGTGCGAACTATTGGGGGACCCCCCTCTTCCGTGATCCTGAAAGACGCAGAAGCAATCAGGAGACCCTCGCCTCTTCCGCGATTCCGAATGACACTGGAGCTATCGGGAGTTTCCCCTCTTCCGCGATCACATGTATAAAAGTCGAACCGAGCGGGCATCGTTTTTGTGCCTGAATCAAACTAGTCTAGTTTTTGTTGCAATTGAGGAGTCTGCCGGTCCACTGTTCTATCCTATTATTATATATTTGTATTCCTGATGTTTTAGCGTTAGTTTTTGTGTGTTTTGTATCAGAACAACTGCCAACGTCATTTTTTACCCTTCGAGGGCTATAATCTAGAGTTCTAAGTGGTGCTTCGGTTGTATCTTGGTCTCCAGGCGATGATTATCTTCCTTACCCCTTTCTTCATCCCTCTTGCTTTGCTACCATGCCTTCTTTCTCGCTGCAACCACCTCGACAACAGTCTTGTTGCTATTTTCTTGCAGTTCCTCTTCATCCAACCGTCCTTCTCAATGTCACAACTCCTGGATAGCTCCCCTTTGGCTATCCCATAATCCATGTCTTCATCGTCGTTGCTGCTGTTATTTCTGCTTGCTTTCTCCGCCCAGGCATAGCCGTCTGGGCTGGTTTTTGCTGTTCTAGGCACACATCTAGTTGTTTTCCCTCATTCTAGCGTGCTGCCATTGATGCAATGCCTTCCCCTGCTTTCTTGTTGTCTAACCCAAACAACTAACTGTTGTTGTTTGGGTTGTCGCCTCTTGCTGTCCTAATGTTCCAACCACCCATCATTGTTGTAGCTCCTCATCCACAGCCGCGAAACTCTT